GAGAGAGGGGCTGGTCCAGTTATATGGACTAGACCTATTTGAGTTAATAGCTCATGAGTTCGGTCAGACGATATAAGGAAAGATATAAGGTTAGTTGCATTGATCATACGACATTGAATGATGAATGTCTATGATATTTGTGTGGATTATGTCATGTGATATGATTTGCCGTACTAATATTGTTTAATCTCACTTCCTTAGTTAATGTTTCCAAGAGAAGACAAAGCAAAAGGCAAAAGGGAAAACTTCCGAGGTCAAGCGCTAGAGTATAGTATTGTAATCTCTAATTGCTTATGATGGTTGATGAAGTATATTGTATTTTACCAACATTAGAAACATTTTTGTATAAGTTCAACTATAACTCATTAGCATGCAAGCTCTATCTATTAACTTGATCATTTTTGGGTGGCCTTATGTCTTGGTAAAAAAAAAAAAAAAAAACTACATACACATACTAAATCATTAATATGCTTTATACTTTATATCATTTTAAAAATTAATTTGTATTTTAAAACTTAAAGGACTTATAATATAATTTAAAAAACATAAAATTTTAAATTTTATATCCTTTTCTTTCCTGTTCTCCACCTTATAGCAATTATTTGATATGATTACTTGTGCTATGAGATGATGAAGAATCTTCTTAGATATTATATATTATATATATGGGGCATCATTTATCAAGTCCTTATAAACTTGTTGAAGTCGGCTTACTATTTTTGTGGAAATTTACGCTTCATTACTTCCAATCAGAGTTTGGGCACTTTTCTTGGGCTAATATTCATCAATTCCATTTCCGTGAGAGCCTTCATATTAAACCAAACGTTTAAATACATCTGATTTCTAAGTTACATGATACAGAATCAAACTGGAAAAAGTTAGTGACAACCTTTTCCTAACCCAACGACAGCCATTGTATTGGCAGTTTTCCCCCCCCCCCCCTTTCAGGAATCCATATCTTACTGAAGAACCTTCTCTACTCCTCTATTCTCTTCAATAAAAAAAGAATAATAATAATCGACCAAAAATTACAGATTTTAGAAGTTTGAGAGTTAGTTTAGCTTATGATCTCCAGCCTTCAGGGGTTGAAATCTCCCCCTCTTTTGGCTCTAGCAAAAAATACTCCTGCCAGAAGACCTGTAAAATTGCACTTATCTTCAGTTGGGCCACCATATGCAATCAATATATCTAACCTAGTGCTCACGTGCTCTGTGTAGTAGTGATCAAATGTTTTTCCTTTTTGCGAAACATGATAAATAGAACTGTTTTAAAGTCACATAATGAAGAGAACTGACAGAAGATGCTAGCGGAGTTCTCCAAACTAGTAGGAACTTTAAAGAGCAGGATGCCAGTAACTGAAAGAGGGATCTTATTCAATGAACCCACAAGGCTACAGATTGCAAAAACAAGTTATTAGATTATCAATAAAAATTAATCCAAATCCAATTACTTATTACTTAACTTAACTGCTGTTACACATATTTTTAGGATCCTCATGAGAAATGCATGGTGCTTTAGATCGTACCTGTAAGTTGTAGCACTAGTCTGATGAAGAAACCACATGGATGTAAAGCTGATAGCTAGACCCAAAATCCGCTTAATGTCATCACTAACCAAAAGCTAGGCAACCTCAGAAGTGGCCTGGCAATTTGTTTCAAGTTTTTTATACTAATAAGAAGATTTGCACATGGAAAAGAGAATGAAGAGAGTTCTAGTCACCAACATAAGATGGACAGGCTATAACATAGAAACACAATTCTGGAGATTCAAAGGCATGTATTTGTTTAAGTATACATGTTAACAAAAAAACAAAGCATATGGCAAACTTCGGGTGTTTACTAATGATGGTACATTTTAACCTATGAGATTGGACAGGCATGTAATTATGCAAGTTACTGGATATTGACTTCATTTAATAAAAATTGAGAGAAAAAACTCACGTTGTTAAGAGATAATCCACCTCGTTGAAAACAAAAATCAGAAGGCATCCCAAAGGCAAAGAAAGGCTATTGTTCAAACAAAACCATTGAAAATTCATTTAAGTTTCCAGATTTTGTTACCAGCTTTGCTGTATCCATGACCTTACGCAGTGTCAGCTGGAGAAACAAATTAAAATCAACCAAATAATAGCATACTTAAGCTAACAATTAATGTTCATCTTACTATATAGACTTGACAATAGTATCTTACGCTTTTACACTAAAAGCAAACTTTGATACCCATTGCTGTTTAAAATAATGTGCAACACTAATGAGGCTACATGAGTTTGGAAACCATTTGAAGCAAGAAACACAAACACGTTGACTGTTCTCCCACCAGGGATATGACAGGAATATTTTTTTTGTCTTTGAGAAGAAAGCTTGACTGAATAAACTGATAATCCAACTAATGAAAATACCAGTTCTTAGCACTAAGAATGAAGGACAGAGAACATTGTTACGAGACCTTTCAATCACAAAACCAACAAGGGTAAGCAGAGTATATCAAGTTGAGTTAAGATCATAGGAGAAGCAGCCGTAGTAATAGTGATCCAACAGCAAGACCATTATGCTTAACATACGAATGTGATAGAATTTAGCGAGACAAAGACATGGGTGAATTTATGTAAAAGTAATGGGCAATCATATTGGACTCACTGGTTCTTTTGCCCTGATTCAATGAATTATATATGGAACGCAGCATCGCAAACAGAACAAGCAAAACTTAAGAAATTTAATGAAGCTGCACATTACTACTAGGCTGATAGAAAGTTCAGTAAGTAATCATCCTGACACCAATGGAAAGGGTGAAAACTAAAATCAGGAGACTTAATAGATAACAGAGCTTCAGGTTCAAAGTCAGCTATACTTACAGAATATGATGCAGTTAAGAAACAGTTAACTGTCTGCCAAGCATAACCAATTGCATGAAAAGAGAGATCAGTAACCCCACCGGATATTGCAGAAATGATCTGCAAAAGAAAATGCAACACTCTTTTCAGATTATTATTTTGACTAATCATATTCCATTTTCTTTTGTAAGACATGCATCAAGCATCTTAATCTTCTTCAAAAAGACCAAATCAGTAAACATTAATGAATCAAACAAATATAAGACATCCAGAATACATTTCTAAGCATCGAAAATTACTCAGTCATACATACATATCGCACAGGCACGTGCATAATGTTCCAAACATGGGACACATGGACTGTGACACTCCAGCAAGTATATAATACAAATTTCACTTCCTAATTTGGAAAAGCTGTGCCAACTCCATAGACTTTGACACAACCCTCCATAAAAAGGAAAGGAAAAGAAGCCAGTGAAAAAATGACATTAAGAAACACGTGACCAATTCATGTTCCCTAAAATGTAGGATCCAGGGAAATTTGAATATATTTGCTTGAAATGTCAGACAGGTAACTCTGTCCAAGACTTTCGCATCTTTGGCCAGTACCCAAAATGTTTGCCGCGCGCGCAGTGCTGAAAAAGGTTAGTACTTCTACAAGATTAAAAAAAAACCTTAAAAATTCGAAGGGGGTCAGGGAAGAAAAAGGTGAGGAACTATAGCTGGATTCAAGCAACAAATTATCAATAGAATAGGTATTACATGAGAAATCATGATTCTAGATTAAATCCAGTGTTACAAACCACAAAAAAACCAAGGGATCGTGGATGACCAAACACACATAAAACTCTTTAGAATACCATTAAAAAAAGAGCAGCCCCAAACCCTGCTGTCATGATGCTTCTTGAATAAATACATCTCGCCAAGGGCTGTTATGACATTAGGACATTTTTCAGGATCGTCACCATAGCTACATTGATGTATTTCAAACTGCAACATAGCATAAACCATTATGAGCAATACAATCCAAGCAAGAGAAAGAGAGAGCCATGACAACAACTACGCTGTCGTAAGCTATAAGTGCTTGATTCACGTGTCTAGAGACTACAAACTGACCCTGGCAGAGGCACCGATGGAGATAATAACTCAGATTACCACAAAAACAAAAACAAAAGAATCTCTCTTGACTACTCATTAATTCAGTGGTTAATATCATCTGAATTTTAATACCTAACTGTTCGAAAAAAACAAAAAAGGAAAGTAGAAAACAAACCATAAGAAGAAATTAAAATTTGAAAGAACTAAAAGTATACGAGACACTGAGTGGCAGAGAACAAAAGTCACAAAGCATCCACATCCCCATTATAAAAATATCACATGGTATAAATACTATTCAGAAAGAGAAAGAAAGCACTTTATTAGCCACGAGGTTCAAAATATATACCTAAACATGCTAGTAATGAGCATCCCGACAAAAATATAACGTTCACAGGCAGCCAGACCTTAATCAATTTCCATGTTAATGGCTCTGTTGATATTAAGCCCAGAGGCTTAACATAGACACTACAGTCACTGAAATGAAATTCTGCACCCACAACATTGTCAAAAGTCAGTATCAGCTTCTTTTCCACCAACTATACAAGATACACAAACACTGCATAAAAGCAACAAGAAAATTAATCAGAGATTGAAGTAAATTTACCTGGTATAACATCAAGGATATTCCAGCATTAAAATCATAACTAGAGAGTACAAACTTATTGATCAATATCATGCTGCAGGAGGACAGGCAATATGCAAGGCCAGACAGGAGGGCTTGATTGGGGGACTCTAAATGACCTAGCATTTCGCTGAACTTTGTCTCTTTCCTTATCCGACTTCCCTTTTTCCAAATCAAGCTCATCACCAGTAGAAGGTTTCATTTCATGCCAGTAAGAGCGTAACCCAATCAAAAGTGAATCCGGAGGAATGGAGATCTGGCTATGGCTTCAAGAGCAATTTGGAAGAAGGAGTGACGTGACAGACGTGTGAATGAGCTTCACGTTTCACAGTCCCCCGGCGTTCACGATGTCCAGCTCAGGATCGATACCGCCAGAGAAACGTGAAACTGAAATTTTTTGAACCCCGTACACCTACTTCACACTTAACATACGAATGTGATAGAATTTAGCGAGACAAAGACATGGGTGAATTTATGTAAAAGTAATGGGCAATCATATTGGACTCACTGGTTCTTTTGCCCTGATTCAATGAATTATATATGGAACGCAGCATCGCAAACAGAACAAGCAAACTTAAGAAATTTAATGAAGCTGCACATTACTACTAGGCTGATAGAAAGTTCAGTAAGTAATCATCCTGACACCAATGGAAAGGGTGAAAACTAAAATCAGGAGACTTAATAGATCAACAGAGCTTCAGGTTCAAAGTCAGCTATACTTACAGAATATGATGCAGTTAAGAAACAGTTAACTGTCTGCCAAGCATAACCAATGCATGAAAAGAGAGATCAGTAACCCCACCGGATATTGCAGAAATGATCTGCAAAAGAAAATGCAACACTCTTTTCAGATTATTATTTTGACTAATCATATTCCATTTTCTTTTGTAAGACATGCATCAAGCATATAATCTTCTTCAAAAAGACCAAATCAGTAAACATTAAATGAATCAAACAAATATAAGACATCCAGAATACATTTCTAAGCATCGAAAATTACTCAGTCATACATACATATCGCACAGGCACGTGCATAATGTTCCAACATGGGACACATGGACTGTGACACTCCAGCAAGTATATAATACAAAATTTCACTTCCTAATTGGAAAAGCTGTGCCAACTCCATAGACTTTGACACAACCCTCCATAAAAAGGAAAGGAAAAGAAGCCAGTGAAAAATGACATTAAAAACACGTGACCAATTCATGTTCCTAAAAATGTAGGATCCAGGGAAAATTGGAATATATTTGCTTGAAATGTCAGACAGGTAACTCTGTCCAAGACTTTCGCATCTTTGGCCAGTACCCAAAATGTTTGCGCGCGCGCATGTGCTGAAAAAGGTTAGTACTTCTACAAGATTAAAAAAAAAACCTTAAAATTCGAAGGGGGGTCAGGGAAGAAAAAGGTGAGGAAACTATAGCTGGATTCAAGCAACAAATTATCAATAGAATAGGTATTACATGAGAAATCATGATTCTAGATTAAATCCAGTGTTACAAACCACAAAAACAAGGGATCGTGGATGACCAACACACATAAAACTCTTTAGAATACCATTAAAAAAAGCAGCAGCCCAACCCTGCTGTCATGATGCTTCTTGAATAAATACATCTCGCCAAGGGCTGTTATGACATTAGTGACATTTTTCAGACATTAGTGACATTTTTCAGGATCGTCACCATAGCTACATTGATGTATTTCAAACTGCAACATAGCATTAAACCATTATGAGCAATACAATCCAAGCAAGAGAAAGAGAGAGCCATGAACAAACTACGCTGTCGTAAGCTATAAGTGCTTGATTCACGTGTCTAGAGACTACAAACTGACCCTGGCAGAGGCACAGATGGTAGATAATATACTCCAGATTACCAAAAAAACAAAAAAAAAAGAATCTCTCTTGACTACTCATTAATTCAGTGGTTAATATCATCTGAATTTAATACCTAACTGTTCGAAAAACAAAAAAGGAAAGTAGAAACAAACCATAAGAAGAAATTAAAATTTGAAAGAACTAAAAGTATACGAGACACTGAGTGGCAGAAACTATAACAAAGCATCCACATCCCCATTATAAAATATCACATGGTATAAATACTATTCAGAAAGAGAAAGAAAGCACTTTATTAGCCACGAGGTTCAGAAATATATACCTAAACATGCTAGTAATGAGCATCCCGACAAATATAACGTTCACAGGCAGCCAGACCTTAATCAATTTCCATGTTAATGGCTCTGGTGATATTAAGCCCAGAAGGCTTAACATAGACACTACAGTCACTGAAATGAAATTCTGCACCCACAACATTGTCAAAGTCAGTATCAGCTTCTTTTCCACCAACTATACAAGATACACAAACACTGCATAAACAGCAACAAGAAAATTAATCAGAGATTGAAGAAATTACCTGGTATAACATCAAGGATATTCCAGCATTAAAATCATAACTAGAGAGTACAAACTTGTTGATCAATATCATGCTGCAGGAGGACAGGCAATATGCAAGGCCAGACAGGAGGGCTTGATTGGGGACTCTAACTGACCTAGCATTTCGCTGAACTTTGTCTCTTTCCTTATCCGACTTCCCTTTTTCCAAATCAAGCTCATCACCAGTAGAAGGTTTCATTTCATGCCAGTAAGAGCGTAACCCAATCAAAAGGGAATCCCGGAGGAATGGGATCTGGCTATGGCTTCAAGAGCAATTTGAAGAAGGAGTGAAGTGACAGACAGTGTGAATGAGCTTCACGTTTCACAGTCCCCCGGCGTTCACGATGTCCAGCTCAGGATCGATACCGCCAGAGAAACGTGGAAACTGAAATTTTTTGAACCCCGTACACCTACTTCACAAACCCATTTGTAATCAACACTTATATGAAATTAAACAAAATCGAAATTTGGATGAAATATGACAGGGAGGAAGAGTAAGAAATTCAAGATATCAAGTCAGGGAGGTTGGCGCTGAAAGAATCAGGGAGAAGCTACAGGATTTGAAGATTTGAAGATGAAAAGTCCCCCTTCGCTTTCTGAAAATTTCAACTCCTTATGTCGTTGACGAAACCCAGCCTTTAAACATTTTACAGTTCCAAATCAAATTTGCCAAATGGCGAAGATTTGCTTTAACGGGATCGAAAGGGGACGAAATCAAGCATCAACATCGTTTGGTTCATTTTTCAGTATTTTCCCAAAAAAAAAAAAAAAAAAAACTAGAAAGTAAAAGGACGAGTTTGGCTGTCATTCCTTTCGGATTTGATTAAAATTATTCCTCCCCACCTAAAATATAGACACTTTTTTTGACTAATCTTAATTTAAAATTTTTTACCAAAATAAATTTTATCTAAAAATATAAATAATTAGTGCTTATAATTCTACCCTTTCTATTTATAATATATATCTTATTTCACTTATTATAAATTCAAACTAAATGTAAAATATATATATATATATTTTAATGACTATGGGAATTTTATTAATATAAATAGTATTGTTAAAAATGTTTATAATTTAGATGAGAGTAGTTATCATAAATTTATTTTTAAATAAAAATAGGAATTAAATAATTCATATCAATTTTAGATTCAAACATCATAAATGAGGAGGAAGTTGAATATTAGAATTATTTTTTCAATTAAACGTGAGAGTACTTGAATTTAATTTAATAATAATAATAATATAATAATAATAATAATAATAATAAAATATCATATAGTACAAGAAAATAAAAAATATAATTATAAAGTAACTCTATATTAATGATTGATGATTGATGACTGATAATCCAATGCTTGAAATCACGAGGCAGACCACAATGGTATTATGGCAGCAATTATAATAAATAGAAAAAAGTTTTGATGTTATTGAGATTTGAGAATGGGAGGGAAGATATTTGACCACAAAATAGAAAGTATATGTGAAAGTGTGAACTAATAAGATGAGAAAATGGGGATAGATCCACCAACACAGTGGGAATATGCATGGCATGCCAAACTTTTGAGATGCATTTGAATGCTTTTGATCTTTTCATAATCTTCAGTTACTCTCCAACTTGAAAAGGTTAGCTTCACATCAACCAAATGATACGAATGCTGCATTTATTTATTTTAATGCCAACTTGGTTCCCCAACGTTTCCATTGCTCTCTCTTTTAAAAAATAGATGATATTTCTAATTAAATTATATTCCTTAATATGTTAATTGATTGTCTTTCCATGCCTGCACTTATTTAATAGAGAATCTTACTTAAAGGTAAAAAAATTGAGTAGTTTATTTATTAAGATATGTTTGGTGGAAAAACTTGTTAGTTATATATTAAAAAAATAAAATATCTCTATATATATATATATAATATTAACAAAGAGATTATTCCTTCAATTTAACATTATGAGGCACTTTTAACTAAATTACATCTTTAATAAGTTAGTTAATTATTTTTTAAATTGCACACTCTTTTTGTATTTATTTTTATTTAATAGAATATCTTAATTAGAAAACATTATTAATTACACTCCCTAATTAATACTCTTTTTATCTTAAATTATAAAACACACTTTTAAACAAAATCATATATTGTTGTTTGGATCTGGAAGTGTTGAGTTGGGACATGTTAAGTGGTGCGGCCTAAGGATGAAGATCAGTGGCAAAGCCATGTTGGGTGCACCCCCTCACTTTGAAAAATTATAAGTGAAGCATTTAAAATTTACAAATTTGCACCCCTAGTTTAATATTTTGCCCCTTTGAACTAAATAAAAGATATTTAGGTTTAAAAACTTATTAGATATATAATATTTTAATGATTTAAATAAGATTATGAAGAACATATTTATAATAAAAGTCCATACCAACTTATTCAATATGATTTTTTAAAATAAAAAATGATAATAAATTTATTATATTATTATATTTTAAGTCTAGCATAATTATTATTTTTTTTAAAAAAATAATTTTTTATTAAATTACTCTGCACCTCTTAAGTTAGATTCCTCACTCCACCACTGGCGAAGATAGTTGACGCGTTGTTGCCATTGTTGGTGTTTTTCACCTTGCGGTAATGGTTGTACGGTGCTCTGAATTTTGCTCTTTGATTAGCAATCTTCGTGTTAAAAGGGATGGTACTGATGGGGTGGTTCAATGAACCCCCATCCCTTGCTTTCGCCATTGTTTCCGATGTCTTCTTGTGTTTCCAACGGTGGCGGTGCGGTTGACTCCCTTTTTTTAATGTATGGTAGAATTTTTTTATGGTGGTGTTTACTTTTTGGGGATAGCATTTTGTGTATCAGGGCTCCCTTCTTGTATTGTGGACTCTGTTTATTCTTATTCTATTAGTTTTTTTTTTTGTCAGATTCTTATTAGTTGAATTTGTATTCTTTGACAAAAAAAACTATATATATATATATATCAATAAAATTTATTAAATATATTGTATAATTTTACCTTTTAAAATAAAAATATAAACTTTTAAAATTGTACTTCATTTAATTTTTATTTGTGAAAAAAATATTAAAGAAAATAATATATGAGAAGGATAATATTAAAAAAATATTATTAATAAAATTTTATTTTCATTAAAGTGTCTTATATGTTAGGACATTAAATCTCTTCCAAAAGTATTTTATAATTTTAAATGGAGGAGTAGCATTTAAAAAAAATAATTATTAATTACACATTAAAAGATTTAAAATATTTTATATTTTTGCAAGGACGACATTCTCAACTTTATGATGCTCCCTCCCATCCTTTTTCATAAAGCCTTACCATTAATTACCTTTTCTAAGATTAAAAAATTATTTAAAGTTAGTTATATATTAAAGAATTTTACAACATTCTTAAAGTACCCTTAATTAAACTAAAAACATATATTTAAGCAAAGAAATAAGAGCATTTTTAAAAATGTGTTATTAATGATTCATTAAATTGTGCAAGAAGTATTGTATTGAAGACTAATGGCCAGAGTATAAATAGGAGAAGAGGTAGTATTCATTTTTTAATTTTTTTTGTTTGAAAATTATAATTATAATCCTTTTTTTAAGTTAAGCAAATGTACAACGAGCTCATGATAAATCTATCACTCTACAATTAATTATAATGTCCTGTTCTATTTAAAAAATTAATTATATAAAATTATTAATTTTTAAGGATTTCTAGGGAAATTCATGATCTCAATTTGCCTAGCAACGAGTACGAGGGAAGGTCGGCTACTGACGCAAGAGGTATGAAATATGGTAGCAGCAATATTTTGGCAATGCTATCCATTAAAATTTTTAAAATTTAAATTTTAAGAGGCTTGTTGCAGTTGGCTAATAAACCATAGAATCAAATGTCATTTTTTCCCGATTGGAGATATTATAATTGCAAAAAAATCATGTGGGCAAATGGAATTCTAGAATTTCTAAGAGAGTTCAATATCAATAACTAAAGATATTTGCAATTTAACCCAATTGATATGGTATTTGTCAAAAGGGCAAAATTTATATACCTAGTTTTGTATGTTTTACAATTTTATGATGAATTTGTAACTTATATTCCAAATTCTAATAGAGAAAATAAATTTATTTATTCTTCAATAATATAAAAAATTTAAAAATAAGTTATAAATTTATCACAACAAGATAGTAAAATTGAGAGTCAAACTTATAAATTTTTAAAGTTTGACATTTAAAACTTAAATTAAATTAATTGATCATTTTGAGACCTTTCTGTCATTTTTTCTAAATGATAATAGCTCTCCTATCATAAAGCCATATTTTACTCTCATCCAGTTCCTCCATTAAAAATCATGCATCTAATAAATAGGATTCAATTTTTAATGGACTATTCTGGATCATACATATCCAATGGATCATTCTACTTGTAAACCATTAAATCCATTCTCTCATTATAGACACATGATACATGTGCACATCACATTCGCATATTTTTTTGGTAGACTTCACATGCCTATTTTGGTGTGCACACACGCATATATGAAATCTCGTGCATCCACCACACAAGCACATTTTAGCGCTTTAAAAATATTGAGAACAATTGGATTGCTTTTTTCTTTTGATGTACAAGGCTGCAGAGAAACTGTGCAAAAGACAGACAAATCAGGTCAAGTTAAAACCATAAGGTTTTTGTAACCAGGGATTAATTGGTATTTCTTTAAAATACTAAAAATATGAGGATTAGTAGCCTACAGAGGTATTCTCTAGCACAGCGTCCTCCGTCTAGAGGTAGAAAAACGTGCAGGGCTGTTCCCCGAGATTACTTGGAAATTGAATAGCAGAGGAAGTGAAGAAGGTGGAACATCAAGAATAAGTGTGCTTGCATTATAAAATATTGAAAACAATTTCATAAAGCAAAAGCAGCAGTTCAAGAATTTATCTGTCTGATATAGTCGGATTGCCTGGCTTCAATGAAATTTCCTACTCTTTCAGCATCATCATGCATCACAACTTTCCCGTCCTCCAAGTAGATGGCACCATCAGCATACTTCAATTCTTCCAAACGATGAGTGACCCACAATGCTGTGACCCCTATAGAGGTATCCAGAGAGTTCCTAACCGCTTTGATAACTCCAACCTATACAAGTATTTGAAGTATACCATCTGTTAAGATATTGCTGATCTTGCACAGAAACAATCTATGATTACACATAGCAAGTGCAACCACGCTTTTTTTTTTTAATAAACAAGGCCATGGCTAGAACCGCGTGATTTACAAATAAATTACGAAGTATCCAGATGAAGAAAAGTCCTACACCCAACAGGCGGATTGTTTGCAATTTTAATATCGAAATCATGCTTTAATAGTGAAATCATGCTTTAGTAACAGAGCTGTTCAGAAATGCAAGCCATATTTCTCAGAGTTATGATAGGGCTGAACTAGGCATCGCCACGCTGAAAATGGGAGCCATTGATTTTTCCCCCCTTGTAGATGGTGAGTTCATAAAGCACACAACATTTGAGTTCAACTGGCTGCTTGGCTTAAGGAGCAATTTTAAGCCTCCAAGCAAGAAGCTGTCCCCATTTATTGTTTTTCTTTTCAATGGCTCTAATGCTACCCAGGAGAGAATCTCATATCTGTAATGGTTGACTGATTACCTGGTCATTTTCATCTAAAAACGTTGTGAGCTCATCCAACAACAGAACTTTACAAGCTTCTGCTAGAGCACCGGCAATGGCTACCCTCTGCTTCTGACCACCGCTTAGAGTTTGAACAGATCTCTGAGAATTGCAGTAAAGGGAATATTCATTCATGGGAATCCCTCAATGTGGTTTAGCGTTCAGAGTTGTCTATGCCCAAAATACCTGCATGTAGTCCGACATGCCCACGGCATGCAAGGCTCTTGAGACCCTTGATCTCACTTCATCTTGGGTCAGATTGAACTTGCCAAGACCAAATGCAACGTCAGCTTCCACTGTAGGCATTACCACCTGCAAAATATGTAATGCTTCACAGATTAAGAATTTAAGATAGCATAAAGTGTACAGTTACATATAAGCCAATAATTTTCTCTAGACATATTTTTAACAGGTCAACATAAAACCAAGTTCCTCAATATAATTGTCAAAAGTAAAAACACTCTTTGCAAACTGCAAATATTAAGGTCAAAATGGTAAGTGAATAGGTCAGAATGGCATGTTATACTTAGTAAACAACACAGACATGCAGAGGCCACAAATGTGAAACTACGTGTAGATTAAAAAATTAAAAATTGAGGTGAATTTCCAGAGTTTGCACAACACGTCATTATGTGTTGTTAATGAGTTCTTATGACAAGTTACGCAAGACAAGAAAGGTTGCCTCGTTCTGGAAGCAAGCCTCATATGTATGTATGTATGTATGTATGTATGTATGTATGTATTATATACAGCATTAAGACAAGTTGATGAATAATTTTATCAAGTTTAGCCATCGACATTTGACTATTTCCAATGTTAAAAAATGAGTCCACAGCCAGATTGACAATGGCAGCAAGATAACTAAAAACGGAATTCAAATTTCCTCCCTTACCAACACGAACTCGTCAAGTTGATTTACTTCCCTTCCCTCAACTCAAAATGTCATCCCATTCTATCATACAACCAAACTTCTTATTCTCATGTCAAGCAAGTCAACAATTTTCGCAAATACGAAAGATAGAAGTTTCATAATTATCAAACACCCAACATTTACACTAAGAACAAAGAGAACAACGAAGTTAGAATACCTGATGATCTGGATTTTGGAAAACAAAACTTTTAGGCCCTTTCACGTGCACTGTTCCTGAAGTAGGATTTAAGAGACCAGCCAATATCTGCACATCAAACTCAGAATCAGTACGCATTCTGATACTATGCCAGATCCCCGTTGTATGTAAATAACAACTCAAGAGGTAGCGAACCAGTTAAAGGCCACGGACCTATCAATGTACTGGGGTTCCACAGGAGGGAAGAGGGATTTTGTGTATACCTTTAAGAGGGTAGATTTTCCGCATCCGTTGGGTCCAAGAAGCATCCAAAACTGCCTAGAAGGAATGCGAATTGAACAATCCCGAAGAATCGGTACAGCTTTCACCTGCCTCGTGGGGAACGAGAAATTCAGGTTACGACCCTCAATAGCAATATCATCCGTCCTATGGCTCCTGGAAATTTGAAATACACAAAAGCAATTGAGTCGAAGAACAAAACATGAGCAAATGAAGCTCCAAGTGAAAATGATACAGTCAAGCGTTTGAAGAATTGCCCGACAGAGAAATGATAACGAAAACCAATGAATCCAATTCTGGATAGAAGGGTGAACCTGATGGGAGCTGTAGAGTAGAGAGGAGCCACAAGACGCTCAGAGAAGCGATTAAGATAGGAGACATTCATATCATTCGCAAATATCTTGTTCCTTTGACTCTTGGATTTATTCAGTCTTAAATTGCGACCACGTCCTATGAGAAACAGAGAGGAGAGTCTCAACAGGTAACAACATGAAACTCATTTTTGAGGTTTACCCGAACGCTCGTTTTAACACAGGGACGAACTGACAGGTGCTTGGCTTCGAGTGGTTTGGTTATCCAGCCTAGTGCCCCTCAAAATTTCAGATGAATATGATAGATTATAAAAATAATTAATTAAAAAATAAATTTTAATTATAATTAATTATAATATAACGTAATATGTTTGGATATTATTTTTTTAAAATTAATTTTAACAGAATTAAATATGTTTGAATAATTTAATCAGAATTAATTTTTAACTATATAAATTACTATATAATTTAATGTTTAAATACTAAATATCAATTTTTTGGAGATGTAAAGTTTAAATTTTATTAAAAAAAAAAAAAAACGTTTATTTTATTTTTATTAAATTACGTGTTTTTTTTTGTAATTTTTGTTTGAGCCTGTCTTTATAATTTTTTTTAACATTTTGGACAAGCTTCTCTACAGAAGCTTTGATTCAGCTTTCAAAAATAATTGATTTTTTGCCCAAAAATAATTCTCCAAATAAGTGGGTGTTTGGATAATTTTGTGGATAATCAATTTTTGCTATCCAAACACACTGCTAATCTCATCCTATTTCTATTTTTCTTCACCTCTTCCCATCCATTTCCATTTTTTTTAATAAAAATACGCATTTCGTTAAAATAAAACGAAATACATAATAAACAACCCAAACTAAACAAGGCTAATTTGGGATTTGAGTACTAAAAGCTATTACACCATAAAAACACAAGACAGCAGCAAGAAAAAGAACAAACCAAGCTAACATCTTAACAACACCCAAATTAATAGTAACAGGAAAGACTAAATGGATTAATGTAAATGTTGCGTTCAGCTTGAATCCGCTTGTTATGATAGTCATATCCCCTTTTGAAAAAACTCTGTTCCATTAGCTGCATTAGCCAGCATTGAAGAAGACAAAGATAATTAGTGCATCATTGCCCATTTCCTTGATTTAAGTATTCAAATATAATGTAATCCAATTTATTTATTTATTTTAATAATATTAGTTCACGGTTACACTTATATACTGTGATTAATCAAATTTTAAAAGTTTAGATTTATTTATATTTTATTTTTAATTTTTGAATTTTTAATCAAAGTGAGAATTGAAATGAAGAGAAAAAAAGAAAAGAAAGGATAAGAAGGGAATCCAAATCATCCTTTGTTCTTTCATGTAAAGGGGCAAAAAATGAAAAATTGAGTTTGAGGATTAGGACCATCAAGACCAAGCCTATATGAGTTGAGTCCACCTAATTTCCAACTCTATTTTATTTATTTATTTATTTTTATTGTTTAAGGTGTTCCCCGGCAACAATGAAACTAATTTTTTAAAGAATCTAATCACTATTTAAGAAGTTGTCCCCTCCTAAATAATGTTTTTTCATACACACATTTAAAAATTAAATCCTGAAATAAAGTTTAAGGGGCTTAGACCGCAACTATTTATACAAGTTTTTTTGAGTTTTTTTTTTGCTTTACCTATTGATATTTGTAACTTCTTTTGTTGATTAATAAAATTTTTTTGCTTTGGCCAAAAAAAAAAAACCCAAAATTAGACAAATAGAAAGCAGGGCAACTGTGAGTCTGTAAGTGAGACCACACCTTCACTGCATTTGATGGCAACTAATTGAATATGTGGAGCCAAAACAAAGATATGAAATTTGATTCAGTAGTTAATTATTGATTCAAAATACTTCTGTTACTATAATTTATTAACTTAGAACAAGTAGCTAAGTTCTTATAATTGTTTATTCAAACAAATCAATCCTTATACTTTTTAATTTAATAAATCACAAGAATTGAGTTGTTTTAAATCAAAATGCAGGAACTTAACTGATAATTGAGAAAAAGTTTAACAATTAAAAATTATATTTTTTTTCTTGTAATTAAGAATAACTTTTATAATAAACAAAGGTTTGTAACACTAATTAATTAATTTATAACTTGTAATGAATGTAATTTTCTACCACTTTTATAAATACTATGATACAAACACAATTCATTTACAATAATCATGAAAAAATACTTTGAGACCAGAGCACTTGGCTGGCTTGTATATTAATATGTAGCCGCCAAAAAAATAGTTACAAGCATTCTTATATGTATGTTTACAATCAAAGCTTATGGAAGTAATAACTAATATCATCTCGAACAAACGGATGATCAAGTAATTGATGAATTGCTGGACGACCCATTGGATCTCTCTGTAAGCAAGATTTTATAAAAGACTTTGCTTCATTTGAAAGATGATTTGGAATTGCAGGTAGATCTTCACTATTTCCAATTTTTTTCATTGCAATCTCCTGTCCATTAACATTAATTGAAATTAATATCAGTTAAGTAATCTTTCATATAGAATATATAAAATATGGAAATTTAGAAGATGATGACTTAAAAAAAAAAATCAATGATAACGCACCTTGTTATATTGACTCCACGGAGGCTTTCCAGTTGCCATTTCTAGAATTGTGCAGCCCAAGCTCCATATGTCCACAGCAATAGTGTACCCATTTTTATTGTTTACCACCTAAAAAGGCAAATATCAGAATAAGAAGAAAAAATAATTAAAAGATAATAAAGGGCATTCTTTTTTTTTTTTAAGAAAACTCAATTATAGCTAAAAGGGAGTTTTTATTATTATTTTTTTTTACCTCTGGTGCCATCCACCTTAGGGTTCCCTTGTAAGAATACATCAAGGAAGAAGAATCAACCTGGTGGTTCAAAGTAATCAGAAGTCAGAGATGTGATCCTTATCATGATAAAATATAAAACAAAGATAGACTAGAACAAGCAGCTAGAGAAGACATCTAAATTAAATTTATTGTATGAAGTCGCACTATAATTCGCAAGTTGTGAATGGCACAAATCATATTGATTGGATTCCATGTAAATATATATAGGGTATAATCTAATTATACTATTAGATAAACAACAAATGATATATAGTTATAAATGAGATAGGATCATGAACTTACATGTCTCGCCATTCCAAAATCAGCCAACTTGATTTCGCCATTAGGATTAACTATGTTAGCTCCTTTGATATCTCTGGTAATGGAAAGCAAAGAGAATTAAAATAAATAAATAAAACGAAATAGAAAGAAGCTAAGATATAGTTTATCATCGTAAACAGTAAGTAAAGATTAAATGACTTGCCTGTGTACTATATTTTGATCATGCAAATAGGCTAGTCCACAGACAATTTGCTGGGTAAAATGCCGAATAAAACGCTCTTCGAAAGAACCATATTTTTTAAGTAGGTCGTAGATCGAACCACCGGATACATACTCCATATAAATTGAAAACCCTTTTTTTCCCTGTATATACAGCAAATAAGTCAACAAATGGATTTGATTAATTAAAATTTTCGTAAAATATGTGTGCATATACAGAATCATAAATAAATAAATAGTGAAAATAATTAACTTTATTAGAAATATTTGACTTACTAATTCACTTCCATAATATTTGACGACGTTGGGGTGTGAAAGTTGGGAGAGTATATTTTTCTCCTGCAAAAAAGGGGAAAGTAATTATGAATCTCCACTTATTTCCAAATTCTACAAATAACTACAAAACTATGGTAATAGAAATACCTGGCACAGTTGTTGAAGACGCCTTTCTGATTTATCATCATCAGGATCCAAGGGAACTTGTTTTATTGCGCATACTTGTCCGGTTTCACTATAAGAAATACAAAATAAACATTCAAGATAAGCAGAGTAATTAAATAATTAACAGAGCAAAACACTTCATATTTCAATATATACAAATAGATACGTTAATATAAATATTAAAGATTAATTACCTGTTAAATCCCTGGTACACACAGCCAAATCCTCCTTGACCCAGAAGATCTCCTTTCTTCCACGTGGGCTGGTTTCTGTCAATGAATTCTTTTACTTCAGTAACTTGATTTAAATATTTCTAAGATATATAGCTCTTTTAGCAAAATGGTATTAACAAAAAAATTAATACAAAGAATTGAATAATATATGTAACCAACCTGTCAGCATTAGGTTGATCAGATATTTCATGATCAAAGGAGGAATCAGAAGTGGTGGTTTCAGAATCAGAGCTGCTAAATATTATGGTAGAAACAGTTCTCTGACTCTGAGCGTAGAAAACTGAGGTTCCAGGCAACACAGGCTTCCAATATTATTAGCTTGTTCTTGTACTTTACTTGCTTCAGCACTCAAAGTTGCAGAAGAACTGTGATGAGAAAGAAAATAAAACTTCAGTCAATAATTATTTTGTTAGGGGAAAAAAAATAAAAAAGACTAGAAGAACCAGCAGATTAAATTACCTGTTAGCATCATCATCACCAGAAGAGGATGAGGCATAATAGTCTCTACTCAAGATTATTTTGTCAGAAACAGCTGACATCCGAGAGCGATAATTTGAGGCTCCACGCAACACAAGGATCAATCCAGTATTATTGTTGCCAGTAGATTTTCTTTCACACATTTCGAATGTCATGTACGAGGAATCCAGTTCGTCTTCACTCTCCGAGGTTGCCTGTAAGTAATTCGTCCAAAAAGTGTATTAATGACAAATAATAAACCATGACACTTATTCTTTTTAATTTTATTTATAAATTACTTTTAACATGTTTTTTATCAATCACTAAAAAATAAGTTAAAAGTTATTAAACCCATCTAAAATTTTAATAAAATTTTAATTTTAACCCTATATTTAATAAATATTTTAATAATGTATTTTTTTTATCAACATTTAAAGTGAGTAAAAGAAGAAACCGTTCGCGATCAAGATGGTTATTTTGTTTAGTTTGGTGACTTTAGTAAATAATTATATTTGCATGGTCTTGCGATTATTCTAGTATACGTACAGTTTTCTGAGAGCGATAAATAGAGATTCCAGGCAGCATAAGGATTCCAATGTTGTTGTAATTGCCAGATTTTGTTTCACACAAAGCTGCCATTTCAAAAATTGAGAGGTAGAGTTCGTGGATACGTCTTCTTCGTCCTCCAAGGTTACCTGTAAGTAATCCGTCAAAAAAAATTACATTAAGCATGTAAAATAAAATAACCATAACGCATATATAAATAATCAACTGCACATAACATTAGATTATACTAAAATAACCCCACATCCAATAATTAAAATAGAAGATATATAATCATGGTGCTGATGTGAGTAGTTGTCTTATCAAGTAGTTTAAGTTATTTACATATAAGCCACATGCATATATGATCAATAAAAATATTAACCATACTACAGCTAGAGCTGTTAATATATAAGGGCTGCTCTTGCTTTTATAAATCAAACCTTTTAGAGTTCAAGCCTATACAAATCCACTTATATTAAAATTGACCTTGTATTTCAAATCAGATTATCATTTAAAATGCTTCCGAAGGCAACATAACTTTTTTTTATTTTTTATTTAAATTTCTAATTATGAAAATATATTATTTAAAAAATTGTGTCATTTTCATTTATTAATTTAAAAATATTAAAGGGACAATTGCATTTAGGGCCCAAATGAGATAAAATGGGAGCGATGGCCTAGAAAATCAGAAGTTTCAATAATGCACAAGACAAGATTCCGTAATTTAGTTGCGCATATTGAAACTTCTCATTTTTGTTATTTTAGGCTGTCACTGACATTTTTATCATCTAGTGACCCTAAATGTGATTCTCGTAACATTAAACGCATGCTTTATAACGTAATAACTAAATAATTCATATTTTAATCTTCAATAATCCTAAGAAAGATATTGACAAAAAATCTAATTGAATATCTTAAATAGTCTAATGGATATTCTAAATGTTTTTATTTAAATAATCCTAAAAAATAATCATAAACATAAAAATAGATCTAATAGCCGATCTTGAACATGTTCTTCTTCTTTTTTTTTCAAGTTCCCATCCTTAAAAAAAATATATAGTTTGTTACCAAAAAAGTCAAACCACAAGAACTTCACGAGTCAAACCACGCACAGTGAATAATAGCAAAGAATTAAAAAAAAAAAGTTGGCTCTAAACACAGTTTCTTTAAAATTTTGTTGGCGATCGAGATGATTATTATTTTATTTTTTCTGGTGAAAATAGTAAATAATTAAAGATGCATGGTCTTGTGATTCTAGTACGTATGCTCTACAGTCTGCAGTTTATATGTGAAATAGAAACAAATGAACATCGCACACCCCAGCAATCAAAGAATTTGACTACGCAACGAATATATGAACATATGTTCGCAGCAGCAACAACACTGACTAGCCTATAATTATTTACACAAAGCAATGAATATATGAACATATATTTGCAATATCAGATTAAAAAAAAAACATAGATTTGCGATATACCTGAATACGATCGACTTGAAGAGATGGATGTGAGAGCCGTAAGCAATGAGGTAATTAGTGAGCTTTATATAGAGGGCTAGGATGTATTCAAAATAATTTAAATTTAAAATATGGATAATGTGGATTTAAATTTTATTTAAATTACGTTATAATCATAAAAAAATAATTTATCTAGTTATTTTTAAATCTTCTAATGTCTTCATCCATCTTTCATCAACATTATATCTAATTATTTTCAAAATATATAATCAAAACTTGTTTTTTCTTATAAATAATCTACTTTTTTAAAAGCTTGAAATAATATTATTTTAAAGTTTAATTATTTCTTTATATATCTTTAAATCAACAATCTATCTGATCAATTTTAAAATAATCAAAACTCTGTTTTTTTCCTTATAGTATCTAATTTTATAAATTTTGATTATTCTTAACAGCTTGAAATAAATCCTCAAAATTCATAAATGTTTTTTAAATAAAAATAATTTATTCTTTAAATAAAATCCTGAAATTTAAAATTTAAAATATTAGAATAGGAAGAGTATTCTGTCTTTTTTTAATAATAAAATAATTCTATATCTTAATTTACGTAAACATGACTTTACTTTTTAATCAAAAATATTTAAATAAAGTTAACGGATCAAAATAAATCTTTATATAAAGTTAAAATAAATTTTTATTAAAATATATGGTATAGAACTATAAAGCATGATGTTCACATGAATAATATGTGAAAAAAATATTTTATAAAATCGAGGGATGAAACTAAATCTTTATATAAAGATAAAATATTTTTATTCAGTTTCTTCAAAAAAAAATTATGAAATAATGAAAATTTTAATTTCTTAAATTTATTTTAGTTATTGATATATCCCCTTCAAGTTTAACTTTTATTATTTTAATTCCTTAAGTTCGTATGAATTATCCATTTGATCTTATTTTTTAAATAAAAATGAACATTAAAATTTATTGTCATAGATTATAGAATCTCGATAGCAGCCATATTGGTTATTGAAAAAAAAATGTAATTATTTAGATGAAAATAACTCCAAAATTAAAAAAAAAAAGAATAAAACACAGTGTAAGAACTAAATGAATAAAAATTAAATAAATTTAAGGGCTAATTTATTCTCATTTAGCTGTATATGCACACACATGCCAAGTCATCAAAATATTTTATAAATTAAAATTGTTTGAGAGTAAATTTGTTTTTTAAAATTTAAAAAACTAATATGATAATTTAAAAAATAAAATGAGTAAATTGATAAAAATTAAACTCAAATAACCAAATTGATAACAAAGTCAAACTTGAGGGGCTAAAATTTTATTATCCCTATATCTTTTAGCATATTATTTATGTAAATTGTAACACCATGCTTATATGATTCTTCTAAATCTAAAATGTTAATTTTTTATACTTATTAGCGTTATTTTAAAATTTTAAATTTATTATATCAAAACTATGTTTTTTTCTTATAAATAATCTAATTTTTAAAATTTTTAACATTTTTAAAAGCTCAAAAAATATTATTTTAAATTTTTATGATCTTTTTAAATATCTTTAAATCAACATTCTATCTTGTAATTTTTTAAAATAACCAAAACTCTTTTTTTTCTTTTAAAATATATAATATTTTAAATTTTGATTATTGTTAGAAGGTTAAAAAAATCATCAAACTTCATAAATATTTTTAAATAAAAAT